GAAATCCGTCCATGCATAACTGAGATCTGGGTCCGGAATGGTGAAAATGTGCGATTTCAATGCATTTTCGGCCTTAAAATGGCCGCTATTCGGCTATCGTTAATCGGATCATGAAAAAAATGCATGTGCATATGTCCCATATAATGTGTGATGTATGAGTGAAGTTTGAACATAATCGGTCCATGCATGTTCGAGATACAGGTGATCACGGACGCACGGACGCACGGACGGACGGACGGACGGACGCACACAGGGCAAAACATAAGTCCCCGTTTTCGGACTCCGTCCGAACGGGGACTAACAAAAGCGGATTGCACCTACTGAGGCTTTACACACACCTCCAATTCTGTAACTATACCGGTCCCTCACCATGCACGTTTTGTGTAGCTCATATATTATCGTACCAGACATCGTTTCATGACGTCGTCTTAGTGCGATAGATCTGGACGCACAACTTCTTTCTTACCAGAAATCTGATAGGCAGATGGCCATTAATCTTTTTACCACCAGAATTTCTCGCCTAAATTATTCAGCTTGTTAATAGACAGTTTGTCACAATCCTTGAGCAAACAATCCAAGCCATTCATTTCCAAATCAGCTAGCTACAAACTAATCTCAAAACAACTTACTGAAGCAAAATTAGCCCACACGCAGTGATGCATGTTCGCCGATATTTAAGAATCAAAAGTATTCACAATACTGTGCAATTTTAGAAAAAATAATAAAATACATCTGATACGCACCTAAGAACGTAGACAATGCTCTGAGGTCTTTATCAGCAATACTGTATATTTCATCTTCCGTGTGTCTGCCTATACCTTGAGCATACAGAGATTTCTTCACGGAACGTCGAATCATCTTCATAAGTATTGAAATCACGAAACTGTTTTTAAGAAATGGTTTCAGTCGTTGTTGGTTATCAGCCACCCATCTTGAATACACTAGGGTCCTGAAGCGAAATTGAAATGGATTGCATTATATTACGACGGTGAAATAAGACTTTCAATTACAGCAGAGTAACATTGGATGTTCTGAACAGCTTGCATTACAATCTTTTTATTACAAATTCTGTTCTGGTTATTATTTCAGATTGTCTTGAATTACATGATAAAACAATGTTGATTGCCTTACCAGTACAGATTTTCTTCTGTCATTTTCTGAAAAGCTCTTGCTACTGCCCTGTCTGAAGGACTGAGATGAGTGTTGAGATCAACTTTGAACTCTTTGTTCAGAAATTCAATAATAAAACTTGAATCCGATAGTATTTCTCCATTGTATTCAATCCATGGTGTTTTACCTTTGGGTGACATCTTCATACTAAAAACACTCTGAAAAAAAATAATAATAAATAAATAAATGAGGTTCATGTACACCTGTAAGTTCTGGTCATCTTAAACTATCAGCGCATAGTAAGTAAGTAAGTAAGTAATTTATTATAGTGACCTGCAGCTCAGAGAACTGCCCAGCCCAGTGGACTTATAAGTCACCTTAAATAATAACGATTGCATTTACAAATAAAGGTTATGAAAGTGAAAGAGAGCTTGAAATAATATATCAACAATACAATTGTGTAGTTCATTCAGACGTACAACAAATTTCTTCTTTTGTAAAAAGCCTTTTCTATAAAAAGAGCAAGTTTTCTTATTGGCCCTGAAAATAAACGAACCAGTATTTGTTCCCGTGATATTCCAGTTATTTCATTAAGAATTGAATCTAGATACTCATGCCTCAATTCATTGTATTGCTGTCAGTCAAACAAAAAAATGCATTTCGTCCTCAACAACGTTTGCATCACAAAATTTACAGATTCGTTCACTTACAGGCTCGTGTCCAAATCGCCCAGTCTCAATACGGAGAGGCAAAATGCCCATGCGCAGTTGAGCTAATAGTGACCTTTGATAATGTGCATAATGTGATTGTATTGTTGATGAGTGCCTGGTCGATGACATTTCATTGAGTGACCCTATTCTCTAGTTGAATGTCCATATATCAAACCACGATTTTTATAACTGCGACAAAACTGTTTATAATTTCTGTTCTATGATAATTCACTCTTTAAAACAATTTTATTATACATACATACAGTGTGACTCGATTAATTAATCTAACACAATGACGACAACATTTCAAGATTCTATAGAATTCCGCAGTTGTTAAAGCAGTTCCGTCTGATTAGCCGTAAGTGGCTATAAGCAAATTCATTTTAATAATATACATCCGATCATCCTCATATATTTACAGTTACATGTTTAAATGACATAGATAACATACATATATACATTTAAATCATTGGTGGCGACAATGATTCACATAATACCAAAATGATCACTGACCTTGTATGGTATTTTGGCAAATCGTAAATATGTTTCTAACTTCAACGGGAAAGGCGACAGACTGGGTGCAAATCTACTTCTACCAGTCAGGTGCAAGATCACTATATCTCTTGGGTATACGATCTTGGGTTTTCTGAAAGAAGAGAGTGTTGTGGTGAGGAAGCTACATAAAAGTGAATATCCAAGAGTAAGTAAACAAGCAATTATAGACGACGGTTAAATTCCAATGCAGAAACCTGGAATATGTTCATCATGGACAGCATGAAAGTATTGGGCCAATATACTCTGGTATTTAAACTAATAATAATATAATATCAATATAGTTAATCGTTATTTATACCCATAATGCAATACAATAATTACGTCATTTAACTTGTACATTAGGGGATGCCCTTTAGACACCTAATAATTGACTACCGGTTGACTGATCGTAACAAGACGATAGACGAAATCCAAACGCAGCAGATTCCCCATACAGCGTCTAACATCTAATAGTTCTATACTCGTATGAAGCTTAGCGTTGTACCGAGTCAGTACACCCCTTGTTTGAATTTGCAATATTTACACTGTCGTCCGGGGCACGGTCATTCGAGTTGTTGATGACAGTGATATATATCAAGAAGTACGCGGTACTCACCGTAATATTCGATTAACTACAAGCACGGCCAATGCGGTGGTCGCCACACCACCTGCGATTGCCCAACAATTTTCACTTAAAACACTTATCATGGTGTCTACCCAACGCCGGTTACAGAAAGCTAATGAACAGAGCGTGACATTCAGATGACTCATGCAACTGTTCCATGGTTGACCCTATTTCAGGTAGAGCAAGGCATCATGGGAAAACACATAAGGAGTCACCCATTTGAAATCATGGGGGTGGCCGGTGCATTTTTTTGCGGTGTCTTGCCTGTACAGTTTTATTTTTCTTCAATCGTGCCAACAATTTGTTTTCTTTCTCTCTCTTCCAGTCATCCCCATGATTTCAAATAATTGATCCCTAAATTTGACCTGTCGCTTACGTTCTTCAAGTTGATACCCTCAATGACATGGGTACAATGACGTACATGATATGCAAAGTAGCCAAATTATCATCCAACAATATTTACTCGTTTTGTTAATTGGTTTATATGTGTAATAAATTGAATCTTATGTATATGGTACTCGCTGACATGGCTTTGTTCGGAGTCACGTGGACCAACTTATGGCTCCACCCATATAATAATCCATTTTGTTACACTGAATCCCATTGGCTATTCTTTCTTAGTTCTTATTGGTGCACATCAACTGTCAGTGCTAATCAATATTCATGTTTTATCTATATATTGTACTTGAAAATAAAGTTATGTTATCGATGATACGAACTTCTTGGTATCGTGTATCATTTCCATGCCATTCCGTCCTATCGTGTCAGAAACGAAACTAATAACAATTTGTGTACAGCACAGGCTTCACATATTTGTACATATTTTTAGTTATGAATAATAATTTTCTTAATATTAGCGAGTTGTTAATGAGGATAACTCCCCCTTGATACAACATGGTAACTCATTCATTTGGTGTCATAACTATGGTTTTGCACTGCAACATGTAGCTGTGGGTCCATGTCTCGTTATTTGCCTAATCAATCGAAACTTTGCGTTGTGTGATATATATATATTGTAAGAGTTTATGTTGGAGACTGGATGAAAGAAGATTTTAAAGAGACTAAGCCACTCGTCATGTTGTAGTCTCTGTGTAGTTCACTGTAAAATACCCCGATGTTCTGCCTAGTTTTGTATTTTATTATTTTTTCTAAAATTGCACAGTATTGTGAATACTTTTGATTCTTAAATATCGGCGAACATGCATCACTGCGTGTGGGCTAATTTTGCTTTAGTAAGTTGTTTTGAGATTAGTTTGTAGCTAGCTGATTTGGAAATGAATGGCTTGGATTGTTTGCTCAAGGATTGTGACAAACTGTCTATTAACATCGGTCATTATTGTTAAATCCCCAATGGGACTGATACAGTTTGGGTACTAGTAAATTTAGCAGGTGCGAATTCGCAAATACATGTATGGCGATTTTTGTTGAAACCAACGACTTATTCAATTATCCAGGTAACATAGGAATGGGTAAAAAAAAACAGGTGGCACAGTATAAGTGATGTACTTAGCAGAGATTTTCCGTAGTCTCATCTAAAACTGGGATCATCATTTGTTGCCCTGTTTTGCTTGTTCATTCTGATGTAGGGCTTCATGTAAGGCCTCTGCTCGAATTTCAGAGTCAGTGATTTATTTATTTTTTCAACTGCAGATTGTGGTAATGAAGCACACACTGTTCTTTGTCACAGAGATTAGGACTAGGTTTTTGGTCACACTGATAACCCAACATATGCTCTGTCTGAACCACTATATGCTGTTGGCACTCAAGGTCTGCCTCAAAGATGAAACTCTGTCCGCTGGGTGACCTAATATGCTCTCCTCTAATTGAAAGAAGCCTGTAGGCAGCAGCTTGCTTATTGTTCAACCGTAATGGTTTGTGTTGCTGCTTTTCTCGAGATGCTGGTAATAGCCAGTGCTCTAATAAACCTGTTTTCATCTCTGAGTCAGGAGAGGGTGGGCTGGGGTAGTAGTAAGCAAGATCCAGACTATACTCTCACAAACGTCTTCCAAGTATAGAATGTTTAATACTAAACTCTATTTGTTGCCAAATAAGGGCTTCTAAGAAATAGAAATCCAAAAATTCTGGTTACACTACTCACCTAGACATCAGAGAACATAGACAATCATTGTCAATTTGTTGATATATATATATTTTGATTTCTGTAACATGTGTCAAATACACACAGCTTTTATATAACTTAGATCTAGTTTAGTGTAACGAACTGAACTATTCTGAGAGAATTTAACGAGCCATGATTTTGATCTATACTTATTGCATTACATTGTCAGCTAGCATAGTTATCATCTTGTTTATTTATGTTTGGTTGATTTCAACATACATGTATAATGCATATCGTTGTGAAAAATACAAGTTTATATAATTCATTAGAACGTGTCCTTTGCATCTTTGTGTGGACGTGTCTATGTAATAATATCTCG